TTAGCTCTGTCTTCCTCCAAGTATCCCCCTAGTCTTTCTATCGTGCTCTGCTGCACTGAGATAAACAGAATAGGCCAATAGGAAACCAGGAGCGAAAGCATTGTAAGAATAGGGGAGAAAGAGAGACTGCCCCTGAAAGCCCAACAGCAAAAACAGTGACTCTTGGAGGAGGAACTCAAACATCAATATCATTTTGTTTCACTTCCAGCGTCTCTGGATAGTCAAAGAGACTTGGAACAAATTTTGACTGAGAAAGCCAGATCATGGCTGAAAATGTCTAACAAGCTCTTTTTTCTATAAGTGATAAAATTGTTAATCCTGATTAAAAATGGAAAAACAGATCTAGATAAAATTAGAACTTCTATAAAATGTTAAGCCAAAATTCTACCAATACTTTTAAAGAACTACTCACAATCTGTTAAAATCAATTAATACTCAAATATTTAAGAGAATCTTTTGTAACCCTTCAATGCCTTGTTCTAGAGAGACACGGGAAACATACACCTCCAAAAGCTACATTTTGAATATTCCTATACTCAATGGAAACAGGAAAAGCAAAAAATCTCACATTCTTGTAAAAAGTCCGGTCTACTTTTGCAGACCCCCCAAAGTGTAAGAGAGTAGTGGTATGATATGCACAAGCATCCAAGCTAAACTTCTGAGCCTTACATTAACTCTAATGTTTATAACAGATTACAGCTAAATGTGTCAGAATTCAATGTTTATTCTATCATTTTTATAGATATGATTATCTATAAGCGTTGTAATTTTGTATCATTTACATTTTCACAATTGTGCAAAATTAGCTTGTTTTTCTTTTTTTGACTTAAATAAAAGCTATATTAGCTATTCTACTTTTAAGTGTTACAATTTTTACCTGCATGAATAGGTCCTTCAGTACACATTGGAAAAGATGAAGATCAATGGACAGTTTTAGTCTCTTAGGGTATGTCTACACTTGCATCCTATTTCGGAATAGGGCTGCAAAATGTAGGCAGTTGGATTTGCAAATCAAGCCCAGGATTTAATTATCCCACTCTTGATTTGCATCTTCCCAGCAGGGTGCCATTTTTAAAATTGACAAGCCCGGAATAACTGTCTGCGTCTACACACGGCAGTGAAACAGGCATTCGAAATAAAGCCCTATTTCGAACTACCAGTTATTCCTCCTGCAATGAGGTTTAACAGGTAGTTCAAAATAGGGCAGTTATTCCAGGCTTGTAAATTTCAAAAATGGCGCCTGGCCGGGAAGATGCAAATCAAGAGTGGGATAATTAAATCCTGGGCTTGATTTGCAAATCCAACTGCCTACATTTTGCAGCCCTATTCCAAAATAGGCTGCAAGTGTAGACATACTCTTAGGCATTTGGGTATGTTCTTGGTAATTATGACTCAGTGAATGGCTAAATTTACTATTCTATCATAAATACACTGATAGTTGTGAAAGGTGCCATATGTTTCCATATTGTTACTCCTTTTGACACAAATTGTTAGCCAATTATTGTGGTGTTCAGGGTAGCTCCATTGTGCCTTGTATTTGTTTGCTATAACTCTATACACTCTGGGTATGTCTACACTACAGCGTTATTTCAAAATATCTAATTTTGAAATAGTTATTTCAAAATATCTTACTTTGAAATAATGTGTCTAGACACAAAATGCATTTCAAAATAGCTTTTTGCTATTTTGAAATAGCATGTCCACGCTGATTGGACACTGAATAGCATTTAAGACCAGCTGGAACTGGTTCAGGGTATCAGCTGGTTCTAGCAGGGTATCAGGTCAGAAGTTAACTTGTGGCCAGAGCAGCCAGCAGGGCACCCTGGGAAGGGCTGGAGGCCCCCCAGTTTGAAATAAGCATCTACACAGCGCTTATTTTGAAATAGCAATTTCTAAATTGGTGCTGTTCCTCATGGAATGAGGTTTACCAATTTCGAAATAAGCCCTCCACTATTGCGAATTAATTTTGAAAAAGCAGTTGGCTTGTGTAGATGCTAGGAAAGTTATTTCAAAATAACGGGTGTTATTTTGAAATAAATTTGCTGTGTAGACATACCCATACAAAGAATGTAGAATCTTGTTTCACTAAATACAGAAAGAATTAAACACCACAAGGCAGTTTCTTGGCTTACATTCCAAGTCACTTGTACCTCCTTGACACAAATATTCTAATTTTTCCCTGTGTAGGTTAACTTCCAAGAATAAAAGATACAACGTTTGTGAGGGCTCTCATGTTGAGACAAAATTCTGGTGGCAAATCTAAGGCATCAGCCTCAGTTACAAATGGTTTAGTAGGATTTGGGTGAATCAGGATGGGAGTTCTGATGAATGCTCTTTTCAGTCGATCAAAGGCAAACCGAACCTCCATAAACTAGGAGAATTGGGCCCCGTGTTGCACAATGAACCTGTTGGGCTGGTTTTTATGGAATCATATCATGGAATTACAGAACTGGAAGGATCCTCAAGAAGTCATCTAGTCCAGTTCCTTGCACTCAGAGCAGAACTGTGTGTTATCGAGACCATCCCTACAGGTGTTTGTCTAAGCTGCTCTTAAAAATCTCCAATGCTGTAGATTCTACAACTTCTTTGGGCAATTTACTCCAGTGCTTAGCAACCCTGACAGTTGAGAAGATTTTCCTAATGTCCAACCTCATCTATCATTGCTGTAATTTAAGCCCTTTGCTTCTTATCATATCATCTGAGCTTAACAAAAACAATTTTTATCCTCCTCCTTATGAAGACATGTTATGTACTTGAAAGCTATCATCACATCTCCATACTGTATTCTCCAGACTAACAAATAGATGTTTTAAATCTTTTCCTTGTATATCATGTATTCTAGACTTTTAATTTTTTTCTTTTCTATGGACTTTTTCTAGTTTGTACACATCTTTTCTAAAATGTGATGCAAAGTCCTGGACAAAATATTACAGTTGAGGCCTAATCGGCATGGAGTAGAGTGGAAGAATTATTTCTCATGTTTTGCTTACAACATACCTGCTAATATATATCCAAGAATGATCACTTTTTCCCCCCACAGTGTTACAACATTGACTCAGATTTAGCATGTGATGCACTATGGTCCTTTTCTGCAGTACTGATTCCTAGGCAGTCATTTCCCATTTTGTATGAGTGAAGCTGACTATTTCTTCTAAGTGTTGTACTTTGCATTTCTGCTTATTGAATTTCAGACCATTTCTTTCAGACCATTTCTCCAGTTTGCCCAGATCATTTTGAATTTTAATCCTATTCTCCAAAGCACTTGCAACCTCTCCCAGCTGTAAACTTTGTAAATATTCTCTCTATGCCATTATCAAAAATTATTGATGAAGATACTGAACAGAGTCAGACCCAAAACTGATCCCTGCAGGATCCCACTTATTGTGCCCTTCCAGCTAGGTTGTGAACCACTGATAACTCTTCTCTGGAAATGGGTTTCCAACCAGTTATGCATCCACCTTATGGTAGCTTCATCTAAATTGTATCTCTCTAATTTGTGAATGAAAAGGTCATATGAGACAGTATCCAAAAACTTATTAATGCGAACATATACCACATCTACCACTTCCCTCGTAAATGCAAGGATCTTTTCTTTTCATGCAGGGCAGCAACCAGGGCATGCAAAGTCTATAGGGATCCCACTATCTTCAACAGAGGGATATTGACCTTTTTTAGGATCCTTCCTCACTGTATCAGCTCTAATTCCATTATTGTTTATGGAATTTGGTGCCACTCAGACAGGGGCAGCAGAGGCTTTGCCCAGTAAATGGGGGATTTAGGTCTAGTGATTAGAGTAGGTAACAGTAGCAAGGAATTGGAGCCCAGTATCAGAACAAGGTGGAAATACACCTATAATTACCACACAGGATACTGTTGCAATCATATTCACTTATTGCAATCACTGAAAATATAATGCTACTAATATGTCTGAAGAGTTATATTTAAATTACAAAAAAAATCTTTATAGGTAAAGCTGCCTAGTAGTATTAGGCATTTTGTCTTTGCAAGACCTTCTAATAACTTCTTCTTAACCTTCCTTGTATGAGTGTTTCTTGACTGAAGTATTGTGGATAATTTCCCCCACATGGTGATTTACAGTATGCTTTAAATACAGATGAAATAAATGATATTTGTAAGTCACATCAGAGAAAAACATAGGACATCTTCACTCCAATGTCAAGATGATGAAAGCCTTGGTATAAAAATAAACTAAAACTAGGACAAAGTACTCTGAAGCAGATCATTCCATGTTCATAATATGCCTTTTGCCTCAGTATACACTCATGTCTTAGTTCATTTAAAAAGATGTCTTTGAAAACTGAGAGCTTGCTCCTCAGTTCATGTACATCAACATAGCTCAAAGGAATTTAAGCATCTGCTTAGATGCTTATTGAATTGTGGTCTCTCTAAACCCCCAGTCCTGCAATAAATTCAGTGTGGTCAGATCCTGCTGGCCGCCCAGTGGGACTCGGCTCAGAATCTGATTTCAGGACTAGGAATTGCCATCAGAGCTCCAGAATTCAAATACAGAAAGTTTTATTTCATTGTTTTTGTCCAGAAATTATTTATAAAATATTATTATGACAGTTTCCTCAATAATCTTAGGGAACTCAGTATTTAAATGGTTATAAAACTCAGAACTATATATGCCATCCACATTTGCCTATGCAGACACTGCACAACAACTACATAATTTGTGTTCATACTATATCATAAATACAAAAAAATACCATGACAAGAAATTGAATTCATAAAGAATTTTCTTAAGTTGAATCTGCGGTCCCATACTATAGCACAGGCATTATACACACAAACTTTGTCCTTTTTTAGGGTAACCACAACATCTTTTTTCCAATTTAAACTACATCCATAAACTGTGTTAATATTATGAACTGTTTGCATTTTACGGAGAGAAACAATATTGCATGCCGGAGCTTTTTCCTGCCATCACTGCAGCTAAGATTAATGAACACAGAACAAATAGTTGACATATAACCTACCCATGGGAGTTCCAACGCCATAACCTTTTGAGTCTATCAGGCCTCCAATCTGTGTTAGGTTACAGTTCCGCTGGGTGACAAACTCAATGGTTGTGGATTCCATTAGAAAGGCATAATCAGAGGTGAGTACACGCTGGATACCTTCTTCATTACTTTTGACAAGCACTGATTGCCTCCTGCTACTCATAAAGGCCCACATCTTATCATAAGTGGAGATTTTTGATTTCTGAAACATAAAATATTAAAATACAATATTAACATGAATAGATTTATGATGAAGTAGAAAAAGACTCAATTAGCATACGATAACTAGAAATAATTGTATTAATTTAATAATTTATATCTATATAGGGCACATAATTCCAGAAGAGATCTGCTCCCATTTGGACATCAACATAATTAGACAAACCTTCAAAAATGCTCATCTCTTCACATGCTTGATTCTTTGAAAATTAAGGCTGAAGTACTGTCACCATTTACATTGATAGATGAAACTTACCCTGACTTTGATAAGGCCAAAATTTCACCCTGACTCTAAGTCGCACAAATGATATTTTTGGTTGTTTGACATTTCTGAAAGTCTGATTTTGATGCCTAAACAATTATACAGCACTTCTGAAAAACTGACTGACGCAATCTCACACACCTAAAGGATCTCAAAGCACTTGAAAAACATATGACAGTATATGAATAATAGACTGTAACAATTCCATTACTTCTGATATAGAAGGTGGTAGCCTTCTGGTCCACCGTACACTATAACAAGAATCTGAGGAGGGGAACTTTAAGACAAAGTTATTATTACAAACTAGTAAGACTGATACTACCATTTTGTCATGTGTTAAAGAAATAAGTCTGAAATGCCCCTGATTTGTTGCAGCTTCATTCACTGAATATTCAGAAGCAATGGTATATTTTCATGGTGCTAAGACTGGGAGAAAGCAAACCAATGTTCTATACCTTTTTTCTGATCTGTTATATGAGCTTAGACAAGACACTTTGCCATTTCTATAAAATATGGCTGATAATCTGCACCATCTTTTGTAAAGCACATTAAGATTTAGGGATGAAAATCACCATTGTGTTATCTTTACCTTCATCCAAAACATCTCAGATCCAGATGTATTAGAAAGTGAGATGAAATGTTAACTCCTAGCCAAAAAGACAAGAGTAGAAATCTGGCATAACACATTAGTATAATTTGACTATTCAAGGAGTCTCTGATTTGTTAATATCAACCTCAAACATAGCTGCATGTTTGGCTCTGGAGAGACTCTGGACAGAGATTGGCATTGCAGGCTTTTCTGAAGTTCAGCTGACTGGCATCTGTAGCTTCTGCCCCAAAAGAGAATTAATAGTGAGACATGGAATAGAAAGAGGAACATTTGTTCTGAATAAGGATGACTTTGTATCCCTGCTAAAATACAACCCAAGGCTTATTTCAATCTTCCTGGGGACTTCAGACCATCTATCATTCAAGTATTTGAACCAACTCCAGTAGCCAATGCTAATCACATTGAAGGGTTTGACATCGATCTGCAAGAACTCATTGATACTGAGCCAAAACATGATATGGGGTTGATTGCAGAGAGTTTCAAAGTGAAAGTGGAGAAAAAGATTGTGGATAAGAACATAATGCGGAGACATGGAATAGAAGAAACAAACAGTCTCCTTTTCATTGATTTCAGGTCTGAAAAATCAAATTATTCTTACAAACACTTTATATCAATTTTACAGAATTTTAAGAGAATGCACTTGAGCCCTGAACATCAGCTCGCTGGAAATCAAAATGATTATATCATACAGAAAAGAGGGGAAACCAATGTTTTCCAATTACTGCAAAACTCTCCAAAGTGGCCATATCACCATTTAATACTTTCATCATTCAAGGTTTACCCTAAGTCTATAAAACAATTATTTTAGCCACCGTAGAGTAAACTGAACACTGAAAATTGGTACAGAGAACAACTTTGGCAAACTATTGACACATTGGTGTTGTATGAGCTGGAGGGAAAAAGCCAAATGAACGGTGGGAAAGAATAAAGTGAAAGACAATCACTAGGATGAAAACTTGTCAAAAATGGAAGTCAGTGCTCTCTATTGAAGCATTACAGCATGCAGTTATATACACTCAATAAAGTCTGGCCTTAGCGCAAGGTAAGCAAGCAGGTTGGGCTCTGTGCCTTCAGAGCCTTACACTGCTGGGCGGCCACTTGCCTGGCTGATGCTTGCTGCCCTGGTTGGGAATTACCCAGCCATGCAGCACAGCCACTGTCAGCTTGCCACCTTGGGCCCTCAAAACTTTTTGGCCAGACCTGCACTCAATGAATACATAAAGCTAACTTCAACACTAAGATGGACAAGATAACCGATTTAATCATCTATGAAGAAGTCCCAGTCACATCTGAAAAGGACTAAAGTAGTGAATAAAATTAAACTAAGACAAAACTCCTGTCTAAGATGGTGTAACATGCTGCAGGAAATACCCATAATTTTGAGCCACTGTTACTTCTCTGCCTCCATGAGAGTGAGTTTTGCTGATAATTAGACTGTATGTCCTCTTTCTGCCATACCACTCTGCCTTCCTTACCAGAAAACAACTCAGGCAAATTCCAGCTTCGGACCCAAACCTTGCCTAGCAGGTAACAATCAATGAACTCCAGGTCCCAAGTGTCTTAAAGATATTTCTCTGCACAGCCTCTACTGTGCATTCAAAGAAGATGTTAAGTTTGCTGTTCTGGGGTGACTATGCCCTTTCCTTCAAACACAGCACTGAACTAGTTTAAAGTAAAAGTAAAACAAGTTTATTTTAAAAACTAGAAGGATTATGTCATGCTAAGTACAAGAGACAAAGGAAGAAATAGTTACAAGGAAACTAAAGTTAATATACATTAGATTAAAACTTAAATTTAGCAACATACAATCTTTGTTTAAGATGGATTCTTTACCCACAGGTTTTTTTTGTCAGCTCTTTACTGGCCAGCCAGGCCAAGATTCAGTTCAAAGATAAAATTGCTTGGTTTCTTTACTTTGTATGGTGACAGTTCAAGGAAGAATCTCTTTCTGTTCCTTACATCAATAAAGAGATTGACTTTGTTTTTATAAGTCGGGAAGGCCTTGTGGGGATTCAGTTTCCCGCATGTTCCTGGGCTGCTTGAACCATGTTAATTCTCTGTCTCTCTGGTTCACGATCAGGATAATCCTCATTGGATTTTAGCTGAAAGGCTTTGATTACTGCTATTATGTAAATTGAGGTAAACCCACTTTCTTTTGTCTAGTACAAAGCTGTTTATCATTGTTACCTAGGCTAGGCTTTCTGGTCTTAAATATATCCAAACATGTCCTAGTAACATCATACACAGGGAATTTGTCACTTCACTTACAGTGCTAAGACATGTATTTTACAATGCTTTCAGATGATAGGTAACAAGTATATTTTATACAATATTATTGTAGTAGTTTGTAGTATGTGAATAGGTGGTGTCTGGGGTCAGAGACAGCATTCTGGCTGGGAACATTAAAACAATCTTATGTATATATGAACATTTTATGAGCAATTTATTAGTCTAATTGGAAGATGGTGCAATGTCTCAGTAATTAGTGAAAGTCACTTTTCAACTATGTACCAAAATATGTACCCCTGAAGACAGCATGAATTATAGAATTCAATTGTCATGAAGGCAAAACAAATAAAATAATAAACATTCTGTATTGTTTCTATTCATCCTAGAAAAGATAAGGATCAGAGCTGAAGTGTTGCCAAGAAAAACTGACAGAAATGAATACTAAGTTATATATTTACTGTATTTTAATATTTGTAAGGTAGAGACCTGGGATGTGTTTTATACGCAATAGGAAACCTTTCGACACAGACAAAATACCTTGCGATTCAAACAAATCATAAATGATTTTCCCCTGTATTTACTGAACTACTTATTTTACAGTGTCTGCTATGGCTAGAATCCAAAGCCAGAACAATCAAAATCATCACAGGCTGTTTTGACATTGAACTTAGGAGAATGAGACTACTTATTGCTTCTAGCAGTTATGATTGTGACACTCATACTGATGGAAGCAGATTCTGCAATTTATATTATGCTTCCATTTTTACTTATTTGTGAGAAAATCTGAGGAACTGACTTACAGGTTCTATTGGTGAAATGTGTTGTGTTTGCTTAGCACACCATATTTGACCTAACTGAAAATCACTGTCTCCACTGGAAGTGATGTTTAGATGAGAGAAGTTGTGGTGACAAGATGTTATATGCCTGTGCTTCCATAGTATTGCAGGAGATAATGCAGTGGCTAATAAAGCCAGCAACCTACACTTTGTGAAATTTGCATTATACTGGAATACAAAAGAGAAGATGGCAATGGAAACATTGCAACCCATCCCATCAAGCAAAAAAATCTGGAAATGAAGACATTAAGAAAATTGAGAAGTTCAGCTTCCTGGTGCATGGAGATGACAGCTATCACAATGACATCCAGAGGCAGCTGCGCATGCTGTGTTCATTAGATCATTAGAAGACAACAGTGTGTCTGTGTCAGATTTCATGAACATAAGAATGGTGAAACCTCTGAATTAGTCTATTGTAATACAAGTCTGTGAAGGCTGTAAATGGGAGCTACTATCTTTGCTAATGCAATGTTCCTGTTATATACCAAAGTTTTGGACAGAAAACACAAATAACACAGCACTTCAGCAGAATGGAATGAAACAGGTGGGAGTTGGGAATCATTGGGATTATATGATGGTAAGAGAGATTGCCCAAATAAGTAAAGATCAAAGGAAAGGCACAGGATATGGTACATACACAGTATCAAACAATGTGTCAGTGAGGGCAAGCATGGAGGAGTGTAGAGCAAAAGTGTGCAAAACTGATATATTAGTCTTCTTTTATAATTATAACAATAAGCAGAAAGTATGCTTTAGTTATATCAGAATATAATTCTTAACATATAAAAACTTGTATATATAATAGGCAATGTCCTAGTCTCAGCTATACTTATAAAACCTTCCCTAATTCCTGAAAGTTGGGTGCACAGATCAGGTATATTTTGTACATCCTCATTTTCTCTAATTTTTTTAAACCCAAGGATCTAATTCTTTTACACTGAGGCCTTTCACATTGTGGAAGGGGCCTTAATGTAAATGAAAATTAGGCCGTTAATTTATATTTGAACACAAAAGGAGAAGTGTATAGGCTTAAGAGATTGCATCGC